ACGTGAGCGTGTAGACGTTGAATTGGGGGGCGTGGCCAGCAGCACCAGCTTATTTTGCTTAAAATTATTAAAAATAAAACAGGCCCTAAAAAAAAACTCATTCTGAACGGAATCTCAACATAGGCAGGACTGAGCAGACTGTAGTCTTATCATTTAGGAACAATTTTGTGCAAAAAGTGTAATTAACCTGTTTTGTATAGGCCGTAGACCTATCCTAACTTGTTCAAGAAAGTATCAGTCACCTTTAAAAGAACTGTTTCAGCTAACCAATAAGACCAACCAAAAGCTCCCAATGTGCAGGGAAGTCTGGATGACATTTAGCTGGTTTTTATCCCTCAATTCCATCCTTTCGGACTACAGTGGGTGACAGTACTCTTCAAGAGGCCTATTGCAAGCTGAAGGGTCACTTCATCTAGATCACAGCAGGTACACAACTCTTTACTGGGCTGCTACTTCTCAACATAGCAAAGCAGAACTAGGGCACCACATGGGTTGCTACTGGTGAGATATCTGACAACAATTGCTGCCTTCTGTGGTAAGATTTCTGGCAGAATGAGAGATACTCCCAGGAGAGTGAATAATCTTCAGACCTGCCAGAATAGGCACCCTATAACTTGTAACAGATGACAATATGAAGGGCAAATAACAGCAGCATGTAGCTCCATTTCAAAACAGAAGGGTAAAGGTGCTAGAACCCAAATCCGACCTGCAATTGTCAGATTTTGAATAAAATCACACCCAAAAATTACAGTATGAGAAAGATATTACCATCATTTTTCTGTATGACAATATTATGGCATTAACATTAAACCAGTAAACTAACATTGTGTGTAATAATGTTAATTTTCTGCATGTCTTAAAGTTTATTGGGCAAGTTTATTAATTTTGGTGATTTGTAATGGTGTTTTTTCCCCTCAAAAAGTTCTCTAATCAATACTCTGGTTAACAGAGGTTTAGTTTTTAAAGAGCTACTTAAATACATTTTTATTAACCCATACTGAAATTGACTGTTTTCATATTAAAATTTAAGTCTTCAATCAAATGTTAGATGTCCCACAGGGCCCATCTTGCTTGAAGACTCACTTTTCAAAAGAAAAAAAATCAAGAATTTCATAAAGAGACAGTTTTATTACTTTTAGCAATCAAATATTTTTTTTATTAGTAAAAGGATTAAAAAATATTTGTTCTGATCTGTAAACCTCTGAAGAGAACCCCTCTTAAAATAATTTCAATCAACTGAAGTAGAAATCAAAAGAGAAAAAGATCAGTAAAACCATTTACATTAAACATAACGTCTCCCTAGGGTTTACTTTTTCTTTTGATGGTATGCATTTTATGGTATATATCTAACCAATGATGTCATCAGCTATGGTGCCTTGCTTTGTTTAGAAACTCCCAGAAGAAATGCTGCTCTGAAAAGTGAACAAAAGCAGAAAGCAATGTAGCATAACAGAGCGGGCCACTCGATAATCCCTTGAGAATAACGGTCATCTAAGTCACATATCTTCTTTTGACTCACCTTTGGTTTAGAGTAAATTAAGTCAAATACCCTGGGGAATTTCTAGCCATTTCCATTCAAGAAATACATGCTGTATGAAATGATGTCCTGACTTAGAGAAACTGTGAAAAGGAGAGAGAATCAGTCATAGCCAACAAATAAGGAGCCAGGTTAGACACTGCAAGAAAACCTAACTGCTCCCCTGCTGTCCCTGTCTAGTCAACATGATGGAGGAAAACCTTAAGCAGTATGTTCACCTAGCAGACCTGTCAACACAAGTTTGAATGATAAGTCATCTATCCTTAAGATAACAAAAGGTAATTCTTCACTCCCTGATCCAAATACCAGTTCACTTTTTATGAAGGAAATTAAATTTAGAGCAAGAAATCAATTATAACAGAAACCTAGCAATAATGAGTATTGCTAGGTGTAGGCTGGTTACCCCAAAACTTCAAATAAACATGCACCTTGCAACTGTCAACTGTTTTTCACCCTCATAACCTGAGGGTGAAAAACCCAAACACGCACTAAGCCTGTGGTTTCCTTTTCAGAGATCTACTGATGCAACAGAGAGAAACTAACTCACCCCTGCGCCATCTTGATACACTCCGGCTAATGGCTAAGCCTCTTCATTGTGTCTTTGACAGTTTTAATTAAAACAGTTATGTTTTGATTAAGGACACCAATAAGGCAATTTCATAGTAATGCTCTGCAAGCAAAATTGCTTCCTAGCCTTTCCAAAAAAGAACTCAACAAAGAATACATTTATGAATAAATGAGAGTGGAAATGTACCGATAAGGTTCTTTTTGACCAAGGATGATTTCCGGTTTTGTTTGCGTTCTGAACGACCTCGATTCCAGCTTTGACAGATACTTGTTCAGGGGATTATGTAAGAAAAGGAAAAACACGCTAGAGGTTCTTCGATAGAGACAGTAGCTCTGAGTCCAGATGACAACGAAGGCATACAAAATTTCCAGGTTGTGTCTTTCACCTTTAAAAGTACATTAAAGCACATATTGGCTGAAGTGTTAACATTAATAGGAAGAGTTCTTAGTTTTGATTGATTTAATCAACAGGGAAAAACACCAGGTTTTTCAGTATTTGACCTGTCAATCACCTTTCAAAGCTGATTTAGGGAAGACTGGCCTAATTATAAGTGTAAAATAAAAATAAAAAAATAATTAAGAAACTGGGTGGCGGGCTATTAATCAGAAGGTACACCTAATAGAAATTAAATATGCAATTTTATCGCAGGTGACTGTTTACTTTTGGCCACACCCATAATGCAGATCAATCAACTCAAGGAACAAGCAAACTGCAACCATTAGGGGGCGCCCCTGACAGAAATGAGATATTGAAATTTAAAACCTGAAATTGTGTTTATAAAGAACTACTTTTGAATTCAGATTGAATGGTTCTGAACCTGGGATTGTTAAATGCCCATGCGCAAACATTCAGGCTGAGTAATTTAAAGGAGCTATTAGCGTTGCATGGCTAAACTGGAAAAGCTCAAGGTAGGTTGTTCCCTTTCCCAGTTTGTCAGTTCCTGCTTCATTTTCATAGTAAAACTATTTCATGTCAAGGTACTTCAACTATTGTGTCTCACTTTATTTTTCTACATAGTGGAGGATTTAATTTAATTATGAGTATAAAATTGGCATTTTTACAAGTTCTAAACATTATTTCCTACTGATTATCAAATAGGACATTTGAGTTTAATAACAGTTGTTCAAATTATAAGAAGTCTAAGCAACCTTTGATATTATTTACAGAAACTGAACGATAAACATTTACTTACAATAGAGTTAGAAGATTACAGGAAATCCTCAATTATTGAAGTCAATATAGAACATTCCAACAAAAATTAATGTCAACATTTACCAGATGTGAATTTTATAAAGCCTGTGTTCAGCCAAGATTTGTGAATAAATATGCCAGTCATTATATATTTTTTGATATATTATCTTAACTGGCCAGTGTCCAGCATAATGAGTATGGAAAGTATTTGTACTAAACATTATCAGTATTTTACTGCCCAAATTAGAGCTGAAAATTATATTTTAAGGCTAATCACATTTGGATGACAATGATATGATTTTCTTGTCTACCTGATATGCTTTCACCAAGACGATAGACATCATAAAGAGAAAGTATACTCACTGTTACATCTAGTGTCCTGTTGCATAAATGATATTGTCTTTAATAATTAAAATTATTTGTCTAAACTCAAGTGTTTGAAACCCCACCAGTTTTCTACTACTTCATCATTTATTTAAAAAAGCCAAAACGAAGAAGTTTTGAAAGAAAAGCAAACCCCTAAAATGCATACAAAGTATGTAGAAGCGTAGAAGTACAAGGGTGTACTTTCTTGTTGCGACTATTGTAAAAGCTGGACTCCAACAATTTCTTCTTTTCCTTCAAATGCTCATTCAAACTATTCTGTTACAACCATTGCACCAAATTAGAAGGACTGGTTATTATTTCATAAGTGTGACAATGTCTACCATCTGAAATATTTAATATTATAAATGGTTCACCATGGTTTCTGCATTTGAAAGGGTCCCTGACCAATACCGGTTAATGCCCGTCCAGCATCCATGCCTGATGCAAAGCCAGGGAGAATGTTCATTTTGCTTTGACCAACACCCACCAACATGTGGGCTCCAATTCACATCCTGCCCACAGCCCCCCAAAAATCTGGGATTGGTCCTGCATGGGAATGAAATCTGTGTGCACACATAGTGATGGAAAACAGTCTGAGTGAGAAAGAAAAAAAAGCAACAATAGAGCGTGGCAGGTGCTTTTGCACTTGATGGCCACAGGAAAACTCAAAGACCTCAGACAGATGACGATGAAGCAAAGCAAATGATGCAAGTGAGCCAGCCAGATTCTTTCAGGTTTCTTTGACGAATCAACATTAATGTGACGGGTCAAATCATTACATGGCAAATGCATATTAAAACACAGGGTGACGACATGTTCAATCCCTACAGACCTCCACTTCTCTTCCCCCCTTATTTTATTAATGATTCTCGGCAGATTTTCTGCTTGACCGAAAATTTCATCCCTGCAAAGACAACTGCGACGTCAAGCTGTCCACGGAGAGGTGCATGCGGCCAACCATGCAGGTGTTATTTGCATTGGAAGAAAAAATGACTTGTGAAGTGAATGGGGAATAATTCTGTGCTCCATCTTCATCACAGTGACGCTCTTATAATTAGAAGAACTTGCAGCAGACCAATATAATATGCATCTGTTCTAGTCATAAAAGTTGCTGCTGGCTATGCATCGGGTCTGAATAAACAAGAGGCGCAACAAACTGCATGCGTGGCTGTCTGCAAACCCAGGAGATAATTTGCTATGTTTAATTTTAAAAGGAAGTTCCAGCTTCAATTCGAAGCGGAGACATGCATGCTGTCTATAGAAATCTGTGCAAGTTAGGCAACTTAACGGAAATCTTACCCGACTCAAGTTCAATGGAGAATATTCGTATGCACTTACTGAATCTCCTCTTTGTCGCCGCCGTTTGCATTTCTCTCCTTATCTGAAGAAGCGCCGCGTTTAGTCCCGTCTTCGCGAGTTTGACCCAATCCACTTCATGTAATTAACAACCACCAAACACAGGAGTTAGAACCGAGCGTGTGAAAAGACAGAAATGTAAAACAAGAAGGAAAAAAAACACAGGTGGGAAAGATAGAGGACTCCACCTCCGGAGAAGCACGAGGTCCTATCCCGGTCAGCCGACACCGGGGTAAGCGGGGTACAGGGGGGAGGGAGGGTCGTGGATCTACTGTGGATCTATTCGTGGCAGCTCCGGTTCGCTGCTGCCGCTAACGGGTTAATGTCCGCCTCGCTCAAGTGTTTGGCGTCGCTGCCAACAAAATAAGAGAGAGAGAGAGAGGGAAAATGACGGAGAGAAAAAATGTTGTTTTCCCTCCTTGTCTGTGAAATGCGCCGCTTTTAAGTTAATTTGCGAGAAGGAGGAGAAGGAGCCGTGGCAGGCGTGGAGTTGTTGCGTCTCTCCCCCCCTTTCGGTCACGCTTCTTTCTGCCTCCGTGGTGAAAACACACACAGGTCGGTTAGTCAGTAGGATTTAAAAAAAAAAAAATTTTTTTTCGGCTTCACTCGGCTTTACTCGCCTCTCAGTGTCCATTCATTGCCGCTCTCCTCCTAAAACGTGCACCAAACGTGAAAATCTCACGGAAATAAAATCCCTCACTGTTAACCACGGAGCATAAACTCAAAAACAAACAAGGTGAATTTCTGAGGCGATTATGCCAGGGACGGATCGCGAAACAATGGACTCCCAGCTGGGCACAGACCGAAAAGGCCCCCCGAACCATACTGCAGTCAAAAAAAAAGCACTTGTGGCAACCACACACAAAAACCCACAAAATAATATGTTGGCGTCTTAAGCTCCATATTGGTGTGGTGTTATTTCAAAATAACAAAAATATTTTATTGTGATTTTTATTATTCTTAACTCTTTAGCAGTAAACTAAACTTCCAATTTTTTTTAACAAAGCAAGCAAAGTTTAAATAAATATTTTGTGTTGAATATTGTCTGAGCCTTTTTAAATGCTCTTGTAAATCACTGAAGGGCCTCTTATTATTATATCTACCTCCTAGGTCATCAGGTCTTCTGGTTCTGGTCTACTTTGCACTCCCAGAATCAGAACCAAACATGGAGAAGCAGCATCTGGTTTCTAGGCACCTCTAATCTGGAATAAACTTCCAAAACCTGCAAAAATGCTGAAACTCTGAGTTTCTTTAAATCAAGACTATGTCCACCAGTTAAGAGCTGCCTTTGATTAATTTATTGAAGTAAACTTGCCTTGCTTAACTTATATGAATGATATTCAGAACAAGACTGCTTAAACAAGTGAAATCAGCTGGGTTAGGGAAAAATAAACTTGTCCAGTTAGGGTTCAGAGCTTGAATATGGCCCACTTGCTTTTAAACATAAGTGTCCTTTAGGCTCATTCATTAATCTCTCTATTGTTTTAGGTCAAAGTGAAAACTGAGGGCTAAGACAAACATTTCTTAACGACCTTGTTCTTGGTAGCAGATGAAGTCAAACTGCACTTTCTGTTCTTCCCAAGGAACCCCTCTGGCTATTGGCCCTCAGATCTCACTCAGGGAGCTTCTGAAAGGAGCAGAGTCATGAATCATCACTGGGAAGAGAACATTTATAAATATTGCCCTATTATCCTTATTTTCTTCTTCACCAAATGAATTTCATCTGGTAGCCTTCTCACCACCTCTGCTCTCTTTGTGTAGACTCAGGACAAGATTATAATTTATAATTCATAGGTGTTTGCCAGCTCTCTGGCTCTTTCACCAGGAGGTAATATAGTTTCTTTTAAGGCAGGAGACTGAGAGGGAGATGGGACATATTCCCCAAGGTTTGATGACACAGAGGTAGATTATCATGCATCTTTAATAATCATAAGGGGGAAAAAAAAACACATGCTATCTAGCATGTGCTTGCTTGTTTTTAAACTAGCAAATTTAAATGTGAAGTTTAGTAATGGAGACAGGGTACGGGCTGTGCTTACAGTACAGTCTGGTTGTTAGTGCTTGGGCACTCGAGTGATTCGGTTGAATGCGCAGGGCAAGGATGATATGACCCCCAGTAATGAGGACCTGAATATCTTCAGGATTTTGACACTCTGCTCCCTCGCTTCCTAACCTTAGTGTGATCAATCGTTAGTTTGGCAGAACCCCCTACCGAACTGCAGCCTGGCTACCTCCTCACCTCATCTAATAATCGGTGCAAATTATGTTTGCACAAGGTTTCACCCTGCAATAAATGTCCCTGCAATTGGGCCATCCTCTGTTCATCTCACACAGACACACACGTGGACGTGTGTATTTGTACTTCATTTAGCAATAATGAGTTGCTATGCGACCTCAACGTGATTGAAAAGGATTTCTGTTCCTTTTGGCGTACAAATGATAACCCTAGTCAAAGCACAATGTTCCTGGAGCAGGATCTTGTCAGACAAATAAGAGACCAAGCCAGCATTATTACACTCAGAGGAAGGCCATTGTTTTGATACAGCAACCATCAATATGTAGGTGCCAGACAGAGAAATTGGTACATGTGCTCAATACTGCTGCAGCGAATCTCTGGTGGCCAACAACAGGGCTGCTTTTCAGCTAAAGACCTCTCCTGTGGACAGTGTGGAGACTCATAAACAACCTTTCTGTCTGAAGGTCAGAGACAATGTTTAGTGAAGGCTTTTTTTTCCTACAGAAGTTGCTAAAAACTCCTCAGAGGGCAACTATGTTTTTTCATTGCCAGATTTTCTAAACTGAACACCAGACATCACCACAGGTTTAGTCAATATAAAACCAGATAAAAAGCATTTTATCTGCTGCGATGTAGAAAATCTCAATATTTATGAACAGATGATTTGCAACAAGGCTTGATATACACAGATAAGGCATAACATTATGACCAGCTATCTAATAGAGTGATGGTAACTCTCTTTGGACACTTGAATATTTCCTGTAGAATCTTGCATCAAGAAGTTAGCAGTAGATTCTTTCTGTCTTGTAAGTTTTGCTGTGGACCCTCTATGGAGTTTATTTCTTTGAAACCCGCTTTATTACATTGGTATTCCAAGTTAAACAATAGCATTGTTCAAAAATATATCAACTTCATAACCACCCTTAGCATACATTAAAAAAAAAATTTGATTGAAGGGTGAATTTACAACTAATCCATCAAACAATCGTTATCACAAATTGAAGTAGCCAGGAGCTTTCTGCACATTTATCTAGTAAAAATTTAACTATAGGTATCAATCCCCACTGAAAATTGGATTAAGCAAACAACTTTGTACAATAAATAAAACAATTAAAATAGCTTTTCCTTCATATTCAACATGAAGCGGACCTTATAATTGCTACTACAATCTCAAATGTATTCAATTCTTTCAAAAAGCATTTTCATTCTTTAGTGGAGCAGCTTTTAGCTGGTACAATCTGGCGTAAATTGGCGTTATTGCCAAGCACAAGATTTTGGCTGCGTTCCTGAGGAATCTCAGCCCACCCTTCATGGCCAAAGGCCATCAATTCATTAATATTCTCAAATTTGGCTTTTTTAAATCTCACCAGAGAACCTAAGTTCAATTCAGGCAACTATAATGGCTATCCTAGTATCATCCAGGAATTCTTCTGAGACTAAGCCTTGTTGGAATTAGAGTTATGCCTGAAGATGTTGTCTTGTTTCAAGCCCCAATGACATTTTAGTTTCAGCATCTTTACAGACAGAATGAGAGATTTACTGATAATTAATTTAATTCATCTTGCAGGTTTCCAAAGCCAGAGGAGGCAAAGCAGTCCCAGGGGATTACTGAGACACCATCCATGCTTTATGGTAGGCATGGTGTTCTTTCAGCGTGTGCTTCAGCCGTCCTCTTCCAAACATATCTCTGATCCAAAACCCTGAAAAGTCCAAAGATCAGAATTCTAAAAGCATTTTGTATTTTTATTCAGCCGTGAACAAACTGGAGCTAACTTTTCTTTCGATTTTGGATTAGTTGTGATGCATGTTTTAAAGTTATAGCATGGCACTCTTCAACATTTTTTATTTGCTTTACTATGGAGATTGAAACATCAGTGATTTCTACCACTAAATCTAACTATTGGTCTTTTTTAGCCAGTGGAGCATTTTGACCATGTTTCCTCCTCAGAAATCTGGCGGAAGCTCTTCATAGTTTCCTTTTCCTGCCATCCCCAAGCTGCTTTTACTTGTGCACTATGCTTCCAGCTTTATCTCAGGGAACACTCACTACATTTGCTAACTTTTTGTACTCTTTTTTCTTGTTTGTGTGTAAAACGATGATCTTGCAAAGAAACATCATCATCGACTGTTCTGGTATCTGAGCCATTCCATCTCAAGCAGAATGGATGCGCCAGTTGTGTCTGAAACCACACTGGATTTGCAAGCATGAATCTGATCTGAGACTGCAGTAGTTGTCGAACGTATCATTAATCCTTCATTTGGATGAAATTTTTCCAAAAACTCTTTTAAGCTATTCATTCTGATGTACATTGTTTATGGCAAACATCAGAAAAAAATTCAAATTCTACCTGTAAATCTAATCTGTAGTGGCAGTCGAATAATTTCCAATACAATTGCATGGACTAATGATTGAGTAAAAAGAAACAAACAAAGATGAAAGCTGCCAACTCTAGCTACTCCACAAACTACTTGATAAAAGCTAAAAGGTTAAGTACATGGATGGGGAATTCAGACTTGAGAATACTAATTAAAACTGATTAGAAATTCCACTTTTTTCAAATGTTTACTTGTCTCTCAAGACCCTAAGCAAAAGGGTTTTTAAGCCTCATACTATGTTCTAATTTCTAACATCAACATTAGAAAGGAAAGCCTAAACAAAACAAAACAAAAAAAGCTTTAAAACAAAGCTAGGAAACCAACTTTGAACCTACGCCTTCCAACTCCAAAACCACCAGCGATAGAATTAGAAAGAGTGTCTCAGTATGGGGCTGCTCTAACTTCATTTCTATTTTGAGAAGAAAAGATAAACACATCTGTATGAAGAAGAGTTCAGTCTGCAACATGTCAGTTTAAAACAACAGACAATGCTGGTCTTTCTTTGCACAAGCTTTTGGATGTCTGTTGGTTTCTCGTTGAAAACATGCAGCCCTCTTGAAGAATTTTAAAAAGATGACCTTAAGTTTACTCCTCAGAAATTAAGGAAAAACAAAAAGAAACTTTGTGAGAACCTGCGAATATCAGACAATGTGTTGTCCACAATTCAAAGACAATTTGTCACAATTAAGTTAGAAGGTGATGAGCTCCTGCTTGTGTCCTGTTATTCGGTAAGTCTTTTGTGGAGTTCCTTAGTTCTCTCTTTGAGGAGTTTTCCTGAAGTTAGGTTCATTCTTGGTAATCCAAATTTCAGGGAAAGGAGTCGTCAAGTGGGACTGATCAGCCAATCAGAAGAGGACTTTGGTTAACTTAAGAGATGCAACAAGTT